TATAAATTGGGATGGAATGTACGAATTCCTGTTGCTTCTGCTATATGAAGGAGACGGGAACGAACACAGTTGGGAACTGATGGAGGTATACGATAGATCACTCGAAAAGATTTCGATTTATCTACATTATGACCACTATCAATTAGATGTGCCAAGATAAAACTGCATATTGTTCTTATCTGGCCCTTCCCAAACCATATTCGTAGATGTTCACTCATTCGTTGGTTAAGTTGCTTAGTAGTACGCCCGATATATATAAAAGTAAAAGGTCAACTAGATTGGAAATGGAGGGCTAAGAGGAGATAAGGATAATAATAATAACAATGTGTAAACAACTTGACACCTAATCACTCTGGATAATAAGCTAAAATTACCAGGGTAGGTTTAAGGTGAGAACAAACTGTTTCTGAATACACTAAAAGGGTTTGAATTTTCGTTTGAATTTTCGGCGTAGCAAAAATCGGCTTCTGTATAGCAGAACCAGGACTCGATATTGTCGGGCCAAAATGGCGTTAACTGAATCGAAATAGGGGGAATAGACTTAAACTTAAGAACCTTAGGAGAGTGTTCCGTCATAGTAATATAGATAACGAAAAATGTCTAATTAAAATATATACGGGAAAAAAAATTCGCGAAAAGAAGTATATCACAATATATAAAATTCAAATAAAGAATAACAATGAATAATAATATTCCAAAATGGAACAGACTCACAGTATATTAACTTGGTGTACCAGATCACGTCGGGTTCACCAATGAGGATGCAACGGATATTCTAGTTTGGCATCTAGCAACCAGTAGTATCTTCTGTAATCGTTCTTTCCCCAGTCGAATAGAAACCAGAAGTCAGATGAAGAGAGGTAGGAAAGATATATTTGATTCGTTACCAATATATCGAGGACCTTTTCTATAAGCTGGCTAATGAAACGTAAGAGCTGTGTCCCACGCCGTGTTGAAACGTGATCTGGTACGGATGTATGACCGAAAGCCTTCAGTTAAACAAGTCCACTTAAACAACGTGGTCAGCAACCAATGTCGAACACTTAATGAGCTATTGATTTTGGGGAATTATTTACCGCTACACTCTCCCTCTCCAAATGCTCTCACATGCCTACGCGTATATAGCCCCTTCCAGGGAAGTCCTACTCACTGACTCCTCGTGTCAGAGGACGAAAAGCGAATGTCCGGCGCTATAACCGGGTTGGTGGATGTGAAGGATCCACCTAGGGGAGTTGGAAAACCTTGATTACAAACCAATGGTGTACACGGGCTCCAGTATCCTGAAGGAACAAACAGCATACGAATCAATCGTTGGCCACTGTCTACCATGGGACTGCATCTCCTCACGAAGGCTGTTACGTAATGAAATTGAGCAAAGCTTGCTTAAGGACCGGGAAGCCTGGTGGTCGGAGCGTGCTAATGAGATGGAAGCAGCAGCTGCATCTGGTAACTGCCGGAAGCTCTTCCAACTCATCCGAGCCATTGGCAGCAAGAAGTCTGGTGTGAGTGAAACAATCTACGAGGATGGCGGGATGCCAAACACTAGCATCTCTCGACATCTTGGACGATGGGCGGAATTTTTTGAAGGACAGTTCAGCTGGCCTGCTGCTCCGGCAACATCAACCAGTTTGTCCTGCCCCCCATGGCCGGTGACGATTGATCCACCAGACGGAGCGGAAGTCCTCCATGAACTACAACTCTTGAAATTCTACAAATCACCGGGCCCAGATGACTTATCTACAGCTCCTTTTAAAGATGGTGGTGACTTTCTGGCTAAGGAACTGAATGCGTTGCTTGCAAAGGTTTGGGATCTAGAAAGTGTTCCAACATCATGGAATGAGTCGATAGTCGTCCCTATCTTTAAAAAAGGGTTCACGTTGTTCCTGCAATAACTATCAGGGGATAAGTCTACTTCCGATTGCGTCCAAACTATTGGCTTCTATCATTCTTCGTAGGTTGTTTAAAACCCGAGAACGATTGACTCGCGAGGAGCAGGCTGGTCTTCGTTCTGGTCGAGGATGCATTGATCACATCTTCACCCTCCGCCAAATGTTAGAACACCGTCATACTTATCGCAAGCCAACAATCGTAGTGTTTCTTGATATCAGGTCTGCCTTCGATTCGTTAGACAGGACTGTTCTCTGGGACTGTCTATTGAAGAGATGTTTGTTTGAGAAGCTTATTAACATCCTAAAAGCCCTGTATACGAACACTAAGGCAGAGTGAGGGCATACAACCACCTTTCTCCCTTGTTCCATTCGAGCAGTGGGGTTAGGCAGGGTTGCCCGATCTCACCATTCCTCTTCAACTTTGCCATCGACGACATCCTGGAAACAGCTCTGATGGATGTAAGTAATGGCGGTGTGGATATGTTGCCTGGGGAACGACATCTCGACCTCGAGTATGCGGATGATATTGTCTTACTGTGCGATAATGCCCAAGGCATGCAATCAGCACTTAATCAGTTGGCAATGAGTGTCCGCAGGTACGGCATGTGCTTTGCACCCTCCAAGTGCAAAGTACTCAATACTGTGTACATTGGAAAAAAGTTTCCACGTAGTGATCATAACACTGTCGTATGTAGCCTTAATATAAAAAACACAAACGGTAGACGTAAAAATGTAACCCTTCGTAGAAACTATCGAAACGTAGATTGGAATAATTTTCGCAATTACCTAAGAAGCACTGACTGGGGAACATTCTTTTCTGCAAACAATACCGACACATTAACCAATATATTTTATCACAACATCGAAAGTATCATCAACAAAATCGCACCTTTAGAGTACTGGAGACCTAAGTTTTCTGAAGATCTGTATATACCGGTCAGTACACGAAGACGTCTGCAGAGACATTGTACTCGCTTCTACAACTCTAATGATTTCTCCTCTTTAGTAACGATGACAGAAATACCTGTCCAGACAGACGCAATAAGTACACGAAAAGCAATCGAACAGGAAAAACGTGCAGTCGAACTTAGGAAAAACTCCTCAGCACTCACCACACTATTTCAAAATAAACTTAAACGTTCTAAGTCGAGAGGAAACATATTTATTAAAGACAAACAAGTATACGAAGATCCTAAACTTGTTACGGAACTATTTAATGAACACTTTTGTTCCTCATTAACTGATGAAAAACTACTTAATGATTCAGAACTTATCACAGCATCTGCCTGTGGGATTACTAACGTAGACTTCAATGTACAGAATATCTCTAAGGCAATTAGTACACTGAAACACTCCTACACTGATGGACCAGATGGTATTCCGGCTAGCATGCAAAAACGTGGAAGCGATGATATGTGTGCTTTATTACTCGAACTATTTGCGATATCACTCTCTACAGCGCATCACCCTACTGCCTGGAAAACTACACACATCATTCCCAAAATTAAAACAGGACCTGAAGCAAATGTTGAAAATTATCGACCCATAAACATAACTTCCGTGGTGTCTAGAGTGATGGAGAAAGTAGTTAAGGCGGCGTTAGTCCAACATGCAATTACTAATAATCTCATCTCGGTCTCCCAACATGGATTTCTTAGGTCCAGATCATGTGATACATGCCTAGTGGACTACATGAATGATATAACTCTGAAACGAGACAATGGACTCCTTGTATCAGTCATATTTTTAGACTTTAAGAAAGATTTTGATAAGGTTCCACACAAACGGCTACTAGCCAAACTACGGTCCTTCGGTATCAACAACCCACCCTATTCATGGTTTGTTTCATTCTTAAAGGGACGTAAACAAATGGTAAAGTACAACGACTGTCTCTCATTACCTAGACCAATAACTAGTGGCGTCATCCAGGGAAGTGTATTGAGCCCACTTTTGTTTCTCATGTATATAAACGAAATATGTAACATCATAAAATCTGGGAAACCATACTTATATGCTGATTATCTGAAAATAGTATACAGCTATAAGCCTGAGGCTCTAAGTGAAAGTGTACCCCTGATTCAAGATGATCTCAATAACTTAACTATTTGGAGCGAAAAGTGGCAATTACCATTTAACCTCCACAAATGCGGGATCATGCACTTTGCAAAGCACCCCTATGAACCCAACTTCATTAAATAAAAGTAAAGTCCAGACGCTTGATTCAGTACACAATCTAGGAATAAATTACACAGGAAGCCTAAATTTCAAAGCACACGCCTCCTTTATTATTTCTAAAGCCAGAAGTCTAATTGGCTTGATAACAAAAAATTTCTTCACGACAGATGCTAAGCTTACCCTTTACAAAATATGTGTACGACCTTCCTTAGAATACTGCTCTTTTATCTTCTCTAATATGAATACCACTGACAAAATAAGAGTAGATGTTCAAAGAGGCTTTACACGCCAACTGCTAGGAGGTTACACAACTCTCTATTACACAAGTAGATGTAAGCAACTCTCTTTAGAACATTTATGGCACCGTAGGTTAAGGAACAATCTGATATTTCTCTACAAAGCAATAAATGGACTGTCATCCCTAACCTCCTGCCCAACTACGATCAATAACCCAGCCTGTAGACTAAGAAACAATGCGTATAAACTATTTACCGAAAAACACCAAAGACAAATGTGTTGTAGGTTTTTTACAGTTCGGTATAGTTTATTGTGGAACAGGTTGTCAATACCTATCCGTAACTGTGACACCTTCACCAAATTTAAAAGCCTAATAACCCTGTTACTAAACTCTAAAGAGTTTCACCAATCATTCCTTGAACTCCCACCTACCAGTGAGACACTTTATTATGGACCGCCCAATATCTAGACGGAACAAGAATATAACGAACTCCATTGTCGTTAGTTTGAATATAGCAAAACTAAAGAAAACATGCTTTATTCTCCCCCACTATTTATTGATTATTAACTATGGCCTTCCGCTCCTAACACTCATTTTCGGTTTCCGAATCTCTCTAATGGATAAATCCAAATTATTCTTCTAAGTGTCTTGTCCTTTTATTTTTCCTATTACAGGTAAACAGATAAATCACTAATCTTATGGATGCTGACCAACTAAGGCCGATCAAAAGAAGCTCATATGTCCTAAATTCTTGTGAGTTGTTTAATGTTTTGTTTTCCTTACCCTGAAAATTGTTACAGTATTCTCTTTCATATCCTCTGGTTTGCTATTTGTCCTTACCATCTCATAACCACATATAATCTTACTTGTCTCTTATAACATTCGCCATTAGTTATCTTCATAGTAGTACGATATATTAAATGGATATCTAACCCATAATACAAATTCTATTACCATCTGATTTGCTTGTAACGTGGAACTTGTAGAGACAGAGTATTCCAACTATGGTCCTTGATTAAAGCAATATTCATACCGACCACAAACGTAAGAGAGCCTAACATCATAAAAGGAGGGAGGGTGGCGTTACTGACCAGCAAACATGATGGTGGGGAGATAACTTCAATCCACCCGTGTCTGTAGGGCAGAACATATTAATTACGGCTCCTTATGTCTAGTGGGATGTCACGAACCAACGGTATTGATGCGAAATTATTCATGAAAAATTCCACTTTCGATCATGTTAAATAAAAGCTAAATTGGTTCCACTTCCTACCGAGTAATCTTATTACAAGCAAACTAGACAATTGGCTAAAAACAAAGCCCACTCTATACCCTATAAAATCTAAAAACAAAAAAGAGAGTTCAAACAGCTTCTAAAGTAAAGAGAGACAGTCATTTGTATCGGAACACTGTTTTCAGCACTTTATTTTATAATTACACAATTCCATATTTCCTTCTGAACTACCTTCATTTATACAGTTTCTGACCCACTCATACATTGCCCACACTTATTTTTCTTTAACACATTAGTATGTTATTATCTAATAAATACTTCGGTAACATTAAACTATACTGCCGACCTTTGAACGAATCTTAAATGACCTTGAGAAATATTAGCCAATCAGAAGATAGTTAGTATACGGTAAAAATATATTATACAAAACCAAAGAATTAAAGTGGAAACACTTCTTTTACATGGGTCAAAAACTTCTCAAGCTCAAATATAGGTTCAGAAATTTTAAAATCATTGTGCATACGGTACAGGAACACATCCATATGGCTCCATAGTAGTCGACCTCTGAAACCATGATAAGGACTCAAAAATTCTTTTAGCCCCGACCACATAGCTTCAATATTGTTAGTATGTTGGTATGGTTTACGGGTTAGGGTTAAGGTTTAGGTGTAGGGTTTAGGGTTATCGGTGAGACTATAAGTTATGGACAACCTTTGAGCGACGATAGAGTGACTCTGAGAGTGTCAACATAATAACTAGGACCAAATAAGGGTTACAAACCTGTGTGAAGAATTCAAATTATGATTTGCAGTCCATGATTAAGGCTAGGAATTATACTTAGGGTTTTCATCACGAACTGACATCAGCTATAATGCCAAAACTCTATTTATCCAAATGGATAATTGAATTTCGCGCCAAAATCTTATGATGACTTCTATTGTAGACGCCAAATTATCACGTCTTCCCTAAAATTCGCTGTAAACCGACCGTACGTAAGCATCAGGTGCCGAACTTAGCACCGTGACCCTGAAAACCCGTGAAAGCTTCTGATTGGCTCGGCAGTATAGTTTAATGTTACCCCGTTATTAAATCTTCCGATAGTCTTGAGGGATATAAGTTCGAAACTTCTAAAAGCCCCAACATCGGATGTATCTATTCTCGACCATCAGTTGTATGTTGCAACGCCTTCTCCATAAAGTGCGCCAAGTGTTTCAGTTTCAGTTTGGAAAGGACAGGAGGCTTGATGGCCTGTATTAGTCCTGGCAATGATGGTCTCTCAGCTGATCCAACTTTCTTTTGAAGGAGTCGACGGATGGAGCCTCAACCACGTGCTGAGGTAATGAATTCCACTCGTTGATTATTCGATGGGAAATTCGGTAGCCAGCTGACAAGTAATTCGTTCGGGGCTTGTGAACTTTTTTGGAGTGTCCTCGTAGATTTTCTGTTTTGGAAGACAAGAAAAATGAGGGCATATCAGGTGCAAATCTGTCATTAAGCAATCTGAAAACTGTAATCAAGTCGCCTCTGATTCTTCTATATGACAGCGGGAATAGGTTTAGCTTGGTCAGTCTAGTACCATACGGGGGCTTCGCTATTCCGGGAATCAGTCTAGTTGCTGTTCTCTGAACCCTTTCCAAGAGTCCACTGTCTTTTTTTAGGCAGGGGCTAGCTGCTTGTATACAGTACTCAAGTTTAGGTCGTACGAACACTGCATACGAAGTCAGAAACGTTCAAGATGCCTAAAGGCCCTGCGTATGGACCATAAAGTCCTAAAACCTTTGGTGGCTATTGCACGGCAGTGTGCAGTAGTCTTGACTGACGATGACGCCTAAGTCGTTGTGTGCCTGAACAATAGGTAACTCAGTGTTATTCATCGTGTATATATCTGTACCCTGGTGGCCAATATGCATCACAATACACTTGGAAGTGTTTATCGACAATTGCCAGGTTTGGGACCATTCAGATAATCTCTCCAGGTCATTTTGAAGTTCTAAGCTATCGCCCTTGCTTTGTATCGTTCTCCATATCTTGACATCAGCAGCATAGAGTAAGACCGATGACGATAGTAGACGAGGGAGATGATTTACGTACAGGAGGAATAACACTGGCCTCAAAACTGTACCCTGGGGGACTCCACTAAGCACAGTTTCCCAGCTAGACAACTTGGAGTTCACCCTTACTCTTTGTTGACGCCCAACTAGGAAGTCGAGCCTTTTGATACTGAGATTTTGCCTCGTCAGTCCCCAGTAACCTAAATCTGTCCCACATTTTCCTTCTTTTACGGAGAAGGATGTGAACCTCCCTATTGAATCACGGTGGGGAGTTTCTCGGTCTCTTAGGTGTAGTCCAAGGGATGTGGGGGGCGGTAACTTTTAAGTATAAATTCCGGAATACGTCCCAAGCCGTTTCGATTGATGACTCTGGGTCTATTTTCCAATCTACTGATGATGCTGATTTCATGATGTCTGGTATGTTTGCTTTCCAGATTTTAGGTCTGGATTGAGCTGAAGAGTACTCGTGATAGACAGTTATATGTAAGTCAAAGCTTAAAACTGCATGACCACTGTTTCCTAGGGGTGGCATGTAATCCAGGTTTGCAACGTCATCCTCATAATTAGTCAATATAAGATCTAGTGAGGATGATGCAGAACCCGGGTCGTACCTAGTTGCTTCCTTCACGTGTTGCACTAGAGCACATGTGATTACCGCATCAACTAGTTCCTGTTCGAAGGAGTTTGCTGATGATTCAGTCCGCAGATTTCCCCAGTCCACCATGGGTGCATTAAGGTCCCCTACGATTAGACATCGATCACTTCGTGACAAAGTGTTGAGACTGCTTAGCAGGACCTCATTTGCCTCACAGCTTGGACTGCGATAGATCAAACTAAGTAGCAACTCTTGTCCTCTGCATTTCAGGCGGCAGCAAACTAATTCATATGTCCCACTCTCATGGGACACACTGTCGATAACGAAGAATGGAATAGCATTCCTAATGAATAGAGCTACTCCCCCTCCTTTACGCATTTGTGTTCTATCGGCCCTTACTAATGTAAAATCCTCGAAATCAAGTTCCTACTATCTATAGACGGCGTCAGCCATGTTTCTGTGACTGCGATTATGTGTGGCCTAGTTGAGTCAATCTGTACACCTAGTTCCGGTAGCTTATTTAGTAAGCTTCGGGGATTGGTATAACAGATCCGAAGCCTTTTTAGGTGGCCTCGTGCTTCACCCAAAGTGGCTTCGGAATCACCCTCTGTCCAAGCCTCACAACCCGAAAATTTACAATTTTCAGGTCTTTTTCGCCAGCGTCTAAACTGAGTTGTAGTTCCTTTTCGGATTCACGTCTTTTAACACGGTCCGCCAACGGTAAGTCCTTACCCTTTAATTTGTGTCCATTTCCTAAGATTAAGTCGCGTTCGTTTGGGGATTTGAAAGCGACTTTGAGTAGTCTAGACTGATTTGGTTTCAGATGCGCTAGATTTCCTAGTCTATACACCTTCAGCAAGGTGACTCCGGGGATGTTTTTGGGCATAACTTGGTTGAGTAGTTGTTTTATCAACACAATGTCATGCTCAAAACGAGCTTTCGGTTCTAAGTTGTTACTCTTCTTGACTCTATGGAGAATGACTGATCGTTCGCTGTGATCAGACCTCGGCTTGTCGACCCTTTGGTGGGGGTATGATTTCCTTTTACGTCATTTTGGCGTTTTTTCTTACGACCCGTACCCAGTCGCCAACATTCTTTGGAGTGGTAACCACATTCGCGTCAGGCGTACTGTGGGATTCCGGAAGATTCAGGACGACTTGGGAGATTGGGTCATCTTTCGCTCTGGAAACCAATCGAGCCTTGCGGTTTCGGCTTCCGGAAGTTCCCTTCTGGGTACCATTTTTGATACGAGGGACAGAAGAGACTTTTTTGCGCGAGTTTCTGGTTGTAACAGACCTCTTTGCAGGATGTTCTTCCTCCTTAGTAGAGTGTGGGTCGGCAGTTTTTGGACTCACTTGGGCCTGCCTTGTGTCAATCTGCGTGTCAACAGATTGAGTTCTGACTAATGTATCCCGACCGCGCTTGCCGAGACACTTTTTTGCGGCATTTACTATTGAGATGGCCTCGGTTAACAGGCTATTTGCATCCGAACAGCACTGTTGACATAGCCATACGCACCCATTTTTACTGAACCGCTTGAAAGCTGCAGGTGTTAGATTCGTGCAAACATCGTGGTACCAACCTTTGCACTCATCACACTACATGCCGCTATCAACAGGATATCGACATCCTGGGCTTTTGTTGCATCTTCCAGTCATTTTAGGATGAGAAAGTGAGTGTTCACTACAAGTAGAAATAAACTATAAATATTTAGGACCAAAGTACTAACAGCCACAATAGAAAAACAAACGTACTCTGGAGTACCGACGATAAAACTATTTAGGATACCGAAAATGATACTCTAATAGCATACTTTAACTGAAAGAAATTCAATAAAAGTATAAAAACAGTAGTCTTGATACATTAATAACGA